TTTTATGATACATGACTTCTATGTAAAAACCAGATATACAACCATTCATAAACGCAATTTAGTCTTTATTTTGGGCTGAGGAAGTTAATTTTCAAAATTTTTGTTGACAAATTAATGCATTTTTCTCTATTTCTTACACCTTCTTTCGGCAACAAGAGGAAGGCTCATTGAATATTTCTCCCACAGGATCCTTTTATTCTTTTTCTCCTCTTTCTCGTATTATTCTGTCCCCTCCTTTTCTTATTCTTTTCTAATTCCATCAAATTTCAGCCATTTCAGGAATCTGCGGCATTTCCTTCATATTCTTGGTGAACGGAGAACTGTAGAATTCAGTACGAAGTTCTGCTTCAATTTCTTCATTTTTCTCGAGAGTGCTTTCAAATAAAGCCTGTAAGAGATCCGTCGGACCTGTCACGCTTAAATTGGGCGGGTAGAGCTTTTCACTCTTTGTTTTTATGGTTTTATCGAGTTCGAATGACCGCTTTGTGGATCTCTTAATGCTCTCCATGGCCTGGAACAAAGGTGTAATTTTAATAGCAAAAGTGAGAAACAAAAAGCCCTGGTAAACATTGGCAGTAGAATCTGTGTTCCAAAATACCATAGACCTACAGCCGGCTGTAAGACTTCCAATAGCTTCTCTAGCCCGCAACACAATTTCTTATAGCCTTTTATAGCCGATGGTGACTGAGCAACAGCCTGGCGATAAAGTGTATGCTAAACGTTACTAATTACGGATACTATAGCATCCGTAGGCATCCTAAGTCCTATAGGACTTACTGAGTTTTTGGACTACCGCTCTCTTTTTGGGCTTTTCTCTTGATTTATTTTGCGAGGAAAGTTTCGTACTTTTGAAGGACACCTGCCATTCCTAATATGTTGGAGCGCCTTCAATTTCGTATGATACTGTGCAATACCTCTGGTGTGAAATAGTTGCTTCAAGCGCCGTGGCGTGGCACGCTGCGGCGCGGCAGGCGGGCAGCCAGCCCGAAACGCGCATTGGCGCCTACAAACCTAACAGGGATACTTCACGCATTGCGCAATGCGTGAAGTATCCCTGTTGGGTTTGTTGGCGCCAGTGCGCCGTCGCTCCGCTTTGTGTTAGGCTCTAATATTTAATCTCGTGCAGTCAGCGTTTTTCAACTCATGACTTTGAAATGTTTGCACACTCTGTATGGATTATATTCTCATTTTAATTGATGGAAAAAAAAATTGTCAACTCCCTGATGACCTGTGGGAAGACCGAGCTTTGTGGCGATTAGGCGTCGCACAGCGCCAAAGAGCGCTATAAAAGCGATATATATATATATATATACATATACACATATATATAATGGAATAAAGAAGTAATAAAGGAAAATATAATGTGCGTTTTGTAAATATTGAGGTGATTCCGTGCAAACTTAAGGATTTACAAAGCACACGAATTTCTACACGATTTCTTATAGCCTTTTATAGCCGATGGCTAAAAAGCAACAGCCAGGCGATAAAGTGTAAAGCCCGGCGATAGGAACTATAGCCCGGCCTTATAATTTTTTATCGCTTCGTGTAGCCCTGCCGTATGATTTTTTCCACTTTCTATAGCCAGCTATATGATTTTCTATCGCCTTCTTCAGTCGACTATAAGAACTCCTATGGAATTTTGAAACACAGCTCCTATCGCCAATTTTTACCAGGGAGTAAAAAATACAGAAACAAGCGGCAGCTGTTTTCTATGTTGGTGCAATTTTAGTTCCTCGAAAAAGATGGGCATCATTGAGTGAGAGAACTCGCCTCACCAACATTTCAAGTATCAATTTTGAGAAAAGTACACTACCGTTAATTCATCAATGAAAGATAAACGATATATCGTTTTATTATAGAAAAACGATGATCGTTCTCTGCTCTTTGATATTAGAAAGCATTAAATAAAGGAATAGCAGATAAATATATTCTAAATATGTTAGGCTCCTATTCACCATCATGTTGTTGAGCTGGTGTGCCATATTTGAATGCATTGCTACTAGTATATACTAGAATTCTGTGGGCAGATCGAAATCAAAAAGCGCTCCCTATCGGCTGAGCCCTTAAAATATAAACGCCTGTATGTATATTGAATATCGCGACATCATCCTTGATAAAGAGTGCGTTTTGAACTTAAGTTTTGAAGATTTTACAATTCTATCGAACAATATGAGAACTCGTGTTAAAAGAAATACTAGTTAGCCATGCCGAATGACGATTTACAAATGCAGTGATACTGTTTGGCACGTATAATATGCTAATGTAATCGCTCAGTAAGTCTCAGATGTCACAAAATCGTGTTTTGTTGCTTGCAACTTACAGATAAATACAAAATTGTGATATGTAGAAAAGCTTATGTTTTTTTTTTATTTACGCGGAAAAAAATGGATTGCTGATTTAACAATTAATTGTTGTTAAAAAATATGTCCGACATGTTTCAAATGTACATTTTAGAATCGTGGAAAGCTAATTTAACCCAAGGGCGTGGGTAAATTAGCATTTTGTCATCGTAAAATCTACACTGAAATTTGTCGGACACTTTTTTTTAACTACAAAATTGTTTGAATTAGCGATATAATTTTTTTCCGTGTAAAATGGTCAAGGGCCTTGCCTTATGCCTAATGGATCTTTACATTTTCTGCACATTTAAATTTGATTTGAAGGAGAAATACGATGTTGGAATACTTTCATGTAAATGCTCCGATTTATCAGTTTTCATTTTAAGCAGCGATATTTTCCACTGGATACTATTTTTACCTCGTGCGCATCCTTCGATTTCTGATCGGAATGGATCAATGTGTTCATCGCAGTGTAGTAATTACGGTACTCCACGAAAAGAGAGTCAACTAACGATAGGACGGATAAAAATTCCACCATACTAGAGTCTGTTTTGAATTTTGGGTTTCCGAGGGCCTTTTTAAGTGCTTCATGCCGATATGTTTCTATTTCTCTCAGGTCGTTGAGCAACTGATCAACAATTTTTGGCGCTACTTTTTGACTAACCACCGCCGCCGGCACTGCCTATAAAAGAAAGAATTTGACTTTATTTGGAGAATAAGTACCCTGAAAACTAGTTAATCCTTTAATCAACAAAATCATTTTTTTAAGTTTGATCCCTTAACTGAAATAAAATATGTGTTGGATCAGAGTTAGCAGTCTCTTTAATATTCACGAATTACTCAATTTGTGGAGAGACTCTACGTACAGTTACTTAACGAAGGTGTAAGTTTTTTCAATGCCTAATTTGACATTCTTCGATTTTGGTTTTTCTGGAGGCGGGAAGTTGAAATTTGATGGTACCACCCGAACCCTAAAGACTAATTTCTCACTGATTACATTAAACTCTTGTATTTACTTTAACAAATTTGCAGTCTTTTGCATGAAATTTTGATGAGTAATCATACATTGCGGTGCATTTACTTGTACACCATTCAGTAGTTCATTAAATATTACTTATTATTAGGAACTTATCAAAGCACTGGACGCACCCTTGCGTTAACTTTGGCAAGGGCAGACGCGACACAAAGTATCACTCCTAGTATCATTTTGATTACACGTAAATATTTATTTAACCACACAGTAAGGTGTAAGACTCACATTATTCAATTTATAAACTTGTGGGCGTCCGTTACTTCCTTATCAAAAAGCTTCAGTC